AAATATCTAATGTTTTGTTCGGCGACGACTTCACGGTCGTTGGATTGCCATTTGCTGGATTTTTCAGGAGCTCCGCCCACTTTAAAAATAGTGCTAGCATTGTGGCAGTGGTATTATCCTGAGTGTGGGAAGGGGGCGCTGCATGCAGTTTGGTGAATGCCATGTGACATGATATGTTTGCCTTCTTTGATTAGGAATTCCCGATTCTGTGCCAAACATGTCTTGGAGACAACCCATATATTCGCATGGTAAGTACCCTTAATATTCTGGTCGCACGACTGTGGATTCACTTTCTATAAAATACATATGTGCTGCAACTGGCAATATAGATCATATGCGATACTTGCCAAGCCATGGTCAACAAAACTATATATATATATTCAAATTTAAATTCAATATAATATATAATAATCAAGTGATGGTCTATTCGATAAACTATCGATTGATAATCATTTCGAGGGTTAGTATTTAAAAGTCACGAATCGTGTCCCGATTTTCTTTCCGCCATTTTTTGTAGACGAAGGAGAAGTTTGGGAAGGAGTGTAAGATCTGCGCGCGGCCGTTCACAGTGTTCCGCTGGTGCCCCGGCGCGCGCATGCGCTTCAAGAAGACAGAGGTCTGCCAGACTTGCTGTAAGCTGAAGAACGTCTGCCAGACGTGCTTGCTAGATCTGGAGTACGGTGAGTGGTAGCGTACTCGCGTACATAGACGCGCGAGTACGAAGTGATCGTCCCATCATGTGGAGAGGTGTCGCAGGAAATGTAACTCTGGGCACAAAACTGTGGGTAGTGGAGATGTTGAAGGGATATGGCGTAGACAGTGAGCTGACAAGAACATGGGATGTGACGTGAATCTGGAAGATAAGGTCGTGACGATTGGTAGCGTCACTGCGTGTACATTTAATTAGACGTCGTACAGACTTGACACCGGTAAGTTACGTGCCGGGAGCGGAGTTACTGCATGTGTGATAATCACGGGGACCTATCTACATACAGTGTTCGAAATAAGGGCTATCCGTTTGTCCTCACTTGTCCATTTCCACTGAGGACAAGTAGACCTCTCCATTAGCTTGTCCGCTGGACAAGCAACTTTTTATAGCAATTTATCAGCATTTTCTACCATCGCTTCAACTTTGTTAAGACGTTTAAGTATTAACTTAAAATAAATAAGTGTGCTTCTTTATGTTCTTTCAAGTTTGGTGCCTAATTTGAACTGTTAGTGAACTGTATTAAAATTACAAAGTAAGATATTGGGTCTGAAATTTAATTTGATTAAATGTATTACACATTTACTATATTTCTATGTTATTAATCAGGACAAGCAAAAATTTTGCAGGACAAGCAAAAATATCTTGTAGTTTGTTCGTCGGACAAGCATAATTTTGTCCTTATTTCGAACACTGACATACATCTACTTGTATCTATTCCCAGGTTTGCCGGTGCAGGTGCGTGACTCGGGACTGAACGTCAAGGACGACATTCCGAAGTCGGACGTCAACAAGGAATACTACACACAGAATGCGGAGCGTGATGTGAGTGCGGTGCCGGCGCTGCGAGCGTGCGAGAACGATTGTCAGAGAAGTCATGATTACGTCGTTCGACAATTGGATGATTCGTTAGTTCTACGACGTGCAGATTCATAAGTTATTGCAGTTGTGTTTCTTTCTTTTCTTTCTCCTTCCTATCCACTATTCCATTTCCTACTTTCAGTTCAAATCCATTCCGTATCGTCTGTACCGTTGCGTATTGTTCTGTACCGACCCATTCTCTTCCGTACCGTATGTACCGTTCCGTACCGATCCGTAGCATTCTATAATCGATCGGTTCCATAATGTCTACCATTCCACACTGATCCGTTTCATTCTGCGTTGTTCCATTGGGACCCTCATCGCCTCCTCCCCACGCGTTCTGCGTTGTTTCATTGGGACCTTCATCGCCTCCTCCCCACGCGTTCTCACGTTTTTCCCGTCGGTCACAGATTTCTCGTCGCCGCGCCTCCTCACGCGTTCTCACGCCTCCACACACGTTCTCACGTGTTCTCACACTCCCTCACAGGTTCTCACACGATCTCACACTCCCTCACAGGTTCTCACACGATCTCACGCGTTCTCATGTGTTCTCACGCCTCATCTCACGTTCTAACGTGTTCTCACATGTTCTCACACTCCCTCACGTGTTCTCACACTCCCTCACGTGTTCTCACGCGTTCTCATGTGTTCTCACACGTTCTCACGCGTGTTTTCTTCTCCACAGTTGTCGATCGCGGGCGACACGAACGCGCCGGGTGAGATTGGTAAGACGCGAGCTCCGAGCGACGTGTTACTGAAGCTGGCTCGCACGACCCCCTACTACAAACGCAACCGGCCGCACATCTGCTCGTTCTGGGTGAAGGGCGAGTGCAAGCGAGGCGAAGAGTGCCCCTACAGGTGAGGCAAGGCGTGGCCGAGGCGTGTTTACACAATTGCAGGTATATGTGTTCATTTATATACATAAATAATATATTATATATATGATTATGGTATATATATCATATATATAATATATTTTTTATGTATATAAATGAAGACATATACCCGCAATTTTGTAAACATATATATATTTATATATATATATATATATATATATATATTATAG